AACCAAATAGTAACTATTAAATAAGTAACCTTAATAAATTGATTTTAAAAACAAAACAAAAATATCCTTTGTTTCGGATAATTTGCACACGTGAAAATTGGCAACACTGGGCTTTTAATAAATTCTTTTGTTCTAGCGAATGCCGATTAATTTTAATGTAAAATATCTGGAAAGAAGTGATTGAATTATTCATTTACCAATGAAACGTGATTCCGTGATTATTTTTCTTTTAGTGCGGTTTTTACCTACAGCATTTCACTACGCAAAACATGTTGTATACATATATATGTTTTGCGCCGCATAATGCGTCTCGATGTCATGATGTTTGCGAGCGAAATGACCGACTAATATGTGTAAGTGAGCGTACCGGCCTGTACGTACGGCGGGCTGACTATGAGAGACACAGTTTTTTGTTAGCAAGATTCTGTCCGACTTTTTTTATATGTCAATGGGCGATACAAAGATTACGAGAAAACCAAAGTACCTACTTTTTCAAGTAGTGACACGTACTGCCGGGTCCGAAGCTAGTCGAGCATTCCCGAAATAAACACGTGAATTAAATAGTATTTATAATAAATTGATTTTAAAAAGCAAGTGATGTAAGTCACTACCCAACAAAGGATGAGATGTTTTGTTACGACGACTATGATTTTCAATGTAAAATTCGTCAAAGCACCGACCAACCAATATTAAATCATTGTAAAACTTGTGTCCAAATTGATTAATTAATACTTATAACTGAAGAATTTCTGTACATTCCTATATTTCTATAATTATCGATTTGCCGATTGCGATATACCGAATATATACAACGTTGATCTGTACATATTTATTTAGTAGACATTTATACTAAATGTCTACTAAATAAATATGGTTTTTGTTTCTGTTGTGATCTCAGGGAGGTACTAGATTGTGGAGCCAAATAAAATGCGTTTATTTACTAAATCCACTCAGTTTTACTACTTTCTCTGATGCTACAAATTATAACACACTTGCTACTTTTTGACTTATAACTTTCATGGCAATATAGATTGAGGAGCCACATTAAAAGATTTCTATATTCTTGAATATCAACAGTACTGGATTCAGATTTTTAGTAGGCACCATACGCAATTGCTACTAAATGATACAAAATATTCAAAAATATTCAATAAATATTTTTGGTGTTTCTGGTGGCTCCTGAAATCATATATTATGTTTAGATTGAGGAGCCACTTTCACATTGATATAACTTTGGACATATCTTACTACAACTTTCAAGATTTGTCCTACAAAATTATTTACTAAATAAATGGTGAGTTTTAGTTTAAAATCTGAAGTGGCTTCTCAATCCACACGGACATTAATGCTTTGGATACATTTGCTATATTACTAAACTAAGGCTTGGTTTTCATTAATCTGTTCAGGGATAACACGGTTTTATTTTTAAATTAAATTCAGTTATTAGATTTTGGAATAATTTTATATATTTTGTCACAGGGAACCAGCAAAAGTAATGATGTTTTTTTAATCGCAGATCAGATCAATCTCAAACAATAAACATAGCATGTTCCATGCAGGAAAATATTCAATCATATTATAATCTCAGTCATAAAATAATTATATTTCTTTCAAGAAACAGATCATCTGTAAAAATATTTACTGAAACCAAATCATAATGGGCTGGATTTTATAATATCTAAGAAATGTTAATATTTTAAAAGTATACACGTCCATCTATCCTCAACCAAAAATAAATGTAATTCATTAAAAATGTTTCACCCGATGGCATGAATAGCACAATAATAACAGAAACGATAAAATAAGACAAAGAGAGAAAAGGTACGTAAGTAAAGTGAAAAGTCCGCAACATTGGGGTTGGTTATTGTAGTGGACCATTATTCAGTTGGAGGGTAGATAAGTTCCAGCGGTAAATATACTCGAGGGCCTTCTACCACCGCAGCACAAATGAAATAATCTTTGTTAAAATCTTTACACATATATATTGTACATTACGAAACCGTAATATGGTGCCAAGTTAGAACTTTGCTCAGCTAATTGACAAAACCAAAATCTTCTCATCTCAGGCCCCAACAATTGCGTGTGTTGATTCCATAGGTATATCGCCGTATCCATCTTACAGGCGGCATAAGTTCTATAATAATGTAAGAAGTTCTTTCAAAACCATCCTAATAGAAGACCGTAGTTAGCCCAAGACCATAACCTTCTATTATTTTCTTCTATTATTGTAATTAAATAAGCTAGATATTATACCGTATTGTGTTATATACCGTTAATATAGTAGGATAAACCTGAATACCAGACTATGGTTACAGATAAAACTTGATGGTGTCAAGCATATCTGACAAACCAATTAGTATTCAATAAAGCATATAATATTTGTAGGTATCAATAAGTACTCAAATATAATATTCGTAAAAGTTTCTGTAACTGCTTAGACAGGTTACGCAACTCGAAAACGCCCGTCGCAGTCATTTGACAATCTCTCTGTCCAGTGGAAGGTAATATCATTATCAGTGATACGAAATACCAGACAGGCACTCAAACGACTCAGTTATATGTCCCCGGAGAAATACGTCACAAAGGGCTTGTAATATGTACAAGCAAACTGCGCAACAGTCGCCCGAGGAGCGGCGGGACGTGCCTTGCATCATACCTGGCGGACCTGTGTGGACAAGGCGCCGCTCTTAAAGGGGATTAGATTCCACTCCCTCTTTGCCTTTTCAACACGCTAGATAAGCATCTAAAAGCAAGAAACTCTTTAAAACTTTTTACATTGCTTTAGAACAAAATTATTAGGTACATACAAGTTCCGAACAATGAAGTCAGTAATTAGTTACGTATGTCGTAAATGCATTTTTTCATTATAAATTCCGCATGCGTAAACGTACAGCAGTCGACGTGCAGGTAGACTAATTAAATTTTCATAATTCCTCAAACATTCTACACGAGTAAACTAAATGAACTTGTGCATGACATTCTCGCTCATAGAAATCTCTATTAAATGGTATACAAACTCTTAACGAAACATTGAATTACCTTCATATTTATACACAAGGATGAATGAATTGAGCACAGCTCTCTCTGTATAAATCCATTGTCTTAACTGCCTTTGTAAACAATTTAATATAGGCTCAGTAAATATTGAAGGTCTAAACAATTCAAAAATAAGTAATACGTGTCTAAATCTACTCGTAACTTATTCAAACGACATGTGGACGGGATAATGTATAAAAATTCTTTTCGCACTCTCCGATAAGCCTATTTTATAGATACCCTTCCAATTTTTATATCCCTTTCGATGTGTTTATTTCATACAAAGCTAGTGGAGTGTAAGAAAATTCAAAGACATTTTCAACAGCTTTTACAGGTTATTTATCTTGGTATAAAAACAAAGGTTTACAACCTCCGGTACATATATTGTTTTACGATACGGACAAATTTCACAGAAATTATAGTAACATATTATACTGGGATAATAATATAAATCATGGGAGAAAAGATTGGGTTTCAATATAACGAACTCTTATACAGCATTAAAAAAGCTCTCCTCCGAGAACTAGATAAGGAAAGGAATACGACTAAGGTTTAATGGAAACATCTTTATTTGTACAAAAAGCTTAGAATTCAATTAAATGTGCTTATTACTGAAAGATTTCATTGTCTATTTCAGAAGTAAAACTCAATGTTGAGATAAAATTAGAGTATGATATTAGAATATTTTAATAACGAACGAGGTATATTTAGATATTTTACAAACCTTTTTACAAAATCCAATTAGTGAAATTGCAAGAGAAAAATAACAACGGACTTGATGAAATTTTCAGTTTGAGTAAAACTTTATATCCCATACGCTTTGGGTTAAGAAAACTAATATTAACAATAGTAAATAGTACTGTTAACGACTGGTAATAACACAAATGTAAATTTGTCGATTCAAAATTAAAATAATAGATGTAAATGAAAAATAGACAGACAATTGTAATATTTAACGGAACTGAGAGATGTCAGTGACTTACATAATTTTGATTTGATTTGAATCAGAAATCAGGTGTTTTTCGAAATGTTTCAAAACGATATTCTCGATAGAAATCTTTTAGAGCGATTCTTATAACGAAGGGTATGACTTATTCATGTCCTGAAAGGTAGACACAATAAGTCCGAAAGACTACAGATGGCGAGACGTATAATAAACGAGACAATAACGAACATTGAGTGGCCTTGTGACGACGCAAACAACAAGATTTATCTAACTCGGCTTTAAACTTTTTTTTTATACTCACACATTGTATAGTCTATAAGAAATATGTTCACAGAAGTACATATTCATTTTTCCGAAAGTTTTTGAGTGTGTATGTTTGTTATTCTTCACGCTTAAACGGCTGCATCAATTTTGATAAAATTTGCTATGGACGTAGCTTACACTCTGGATTAACCCGGGGGATGTTTGATCCCTGATTTCGGTGGGTGGCGCTCAAAGTGCGGAAAGGCACTTGCGACTCTTGAGTTGCAGATGTCTATGGGCCGCGGTAGTCTCTACCATTTCTTTTCCCCAATTTACAATAAAAAGTATATAGATGTTACTGTAAATGTCCGAACTACGATAAATCCTAAGATTTACCGGTGAAACAAAAGATTTAGCAACGAGTTATAGTAAAAGACCGTATTTAGAGCATCTACTAACATCTACTGGATAAATCTTAATATTTACTTCCAATTCAAGTAAATGTCGATAAACAGATATTTTACACCAACAATCGAGGGAATCTAGCTCTCTGGCTTTGGCTCTAAATCTTAGGATTTACCATAGTTCGGGATTTTACAGTAACATAGATACATCCGAATGAAATTCTATACCTTCACAATGTATTAAATTTATTTTAGAAACAAAATGTGATTTCTCTTCAGAGTTCTTAATGTAAATGGACTCTGAAACGATCATATTTTATTACAAATGCTGTCATTTTCACTGTTAATTTAATCCAACGCTGACAATAACTTTATTCATTGGGTTTATCAGTTTCTATTAAAGGTATATAGATTTGCCAGATATTGTTTGGTAACTCTTTTCCATAAACATCTAAGCAGGTTTTCATTAAAGGGGCACACACCTGTAATCAAATCATGTCGTATGTTATCACAAAAAAATACAAATTTTACATATTGTAAACACATGTAAGCAGTTCCCCGTCATTATAAAAGCTCGAATAGCAAAAGAACTACTTCCATCCTATGTGTTTAGATAAGCCTACACTTTTCTTTGTTCCCCTTTTGTAATAAAGAACGACATTTGTTTCTAAGTATACAATTATTGCATACTAACTTGTCCATAAAATCCCATAGACCAACAGCTGGTATTTACACCTAAATTAAGATTTGTCGCACAATGATTCACAATAACATCAGTATTGACCTGAAAATCAAAATGTTAAATTAGAAATCGGACCTCATCTAATGACAAAAAATATTTTAATTTCACATAGTTAAATGAAGTTGCTAAAATTTTTAATTTCACTCAGTTTTCATAGCTTAAAGTGAAACATGGTCGCATGTTTCATTTGATTTTTAACAAACCTTACATTTAAAATATCAAGAGTAAGTGCATTATCGTGTCATCAATACTAATCAAACAACAAAATTTTCATTGTTTTCAGACATTACGACTGGAAACATAAAACAATTTTGCTTTTTCTTTCAGTATTCCCTACAGATTTCTTTCTAGGTATTTATTATTCTTTGTGTGTAGGTAGTATTCTTGGTAGCCTCTTCAACTAAGTGTTTATAACAAGTGGTTAATAGGTATGTTTTGGGAAGCTATGTACAAAGAAACGAGCCGATTATAAGACAACAAGGTCAAACTAACAACGACTATTGTTAGTATGTTTCATCCATATTAACCTAGTGATGTCCAATGATATCATTGGTCTCGCCTAATATAACACTTACCAGACGGCTCCCAAACACACATCGACACACACATTTCGAACATCGATTTGAGGAATATTTTAATAATACTACTAAGCAAGTAGACGAATCTTACCATTACATTCTGGCCTTCTTGTTCAAATCTTGTGATGTTGGGCTTCTGTTCGGGCAAAATTCTCCAGCGTGTATTAGACACCGCATTTTGACTCAGATACAATGGTAACGAACCACACAAACCTGGTATAGGATCCGGATCATACCTTATGTATAGGGGCTGAAATATTTTAGACTTTAATCGATCCCCTTTATTGTTATTATTTTAAAGTAAATGTCATTAGTGCTTCAGATGTTCCTAGTAGAGTACAAATAAAGGGTTTTCTATTTATCTCCTTTAACACCTCCTTTATTTGTACCCCACGGTTACAGTGGAAATATTACACATTTACATAAATTGGAAAGATAAAACAGTTAAGAACTATTTTCTCTCGTGTTTGAAACCATCTTTTTATTTGTGTTTTGTTTTGTAGCCATTGACGAGTATTAATATTATAAAAAACATAAGTTTTTTTTTGTCCGACTAAAGGTAAATACTCGTAGATGTTTCTATTTTAACTTGGATAGGACCTATGTACAAACAAACTGAAATGAAAATATAACTAAAATGAAAAGTAATTTTCATGAACCATTTTCATTAAAATGATAATTGATTGCCTAGCCTAATATTGGTAACGCCTCTAGAGAGTCGAACTCTAAAAAGGTATAACATGAATACTACTCCAAATTATTAGGTTTACAATTATTACTTTGGAATCAACACGAAACAAAAAAAAAACTATAATTTAAAATCTTATTTTGTCCACTGATAAAATTGTAAGTACGTGCTCTCGGACCTTTAGTTACCTTCTTTTTCTGGGATGATGATAACATTAGAAGAAACTCTTGGTTATATTTTAACTGTTCGCCTGTTCTATCACAATAGTCTGCACTCGTGATAATAAATGTTGACCTTTCCGCTGGAAGTAAATCGGGCAGAGCAACAACTGTAAACCCATCCTCCAATTCTTGAGAGTATGTTATTTGGTTTGACGATATCCTACCTCCTAGTAGGACACCAGTTTTACCTTCGATGGGTGGGTCCGTAGCTGTTAAAAACATTTTCATATCAATATAAAAATAGGGAGAGGTGAACTCAAACTCAAGTTTGAGTTAACCTCTCCCTATAATAAAGATTAACCCCCTTTAGGTTAACCCCCCCGTAACCTCACCCACTAGGTTGTAAACAACGAAAGAAAAATAGCTTAACACTGATTTTCTGTGAAGCAGATTTTCTGTGAGGCCGTGGTACCACACCGGTCGAATCGGTATGCCGAAGCTTGACTCTTCCACGGGGACACGGTTATTCAGACAGTATTAATTAAATTAGTATTTCTCTGAAACTAGTTACAAAAATCATGCGCTATCATAACTATAGACTGCAAAAGTAATCACGCCAAGTATAAAATCTGCAAGGTTTATTGGAAAAAAAGTACTAACTACTAAAAGATAGTCGCAAAGATAAGTTATAGTTCCTGTGAAAATTAAATAATATAATGAATGATAAAAACAAAACCGAACAGTTTAGTAGAAACGTATTAAAATGAGTATTATCTAATACATACCCGACACATGTGGTGCTAATAAAGACATTTTAGATCCGAATGTAATCGGTCCTGAAGTTTGGGTGAGTGTCGTCGGCTTGTTAATATTTTCGGTCATATTACGGTATCTTGCGAGCATCAAGTCCCCTTTCTTCATTTGTTGCAAGAACTTATTCAATTTGTACTATTTTTAAGACAAGGGTAATTAATTACATTTTCACCACTGACTGGCTGGCTGAACGAGTATTGATCCACCAGTCTTGTACAATTGTTTTGTTTCAAAAGCTAATAATTGTGTTCAAATAAAAGAGAAATGCAGTTCAAGGAATATGGATTATGTATGGTAGTGTATTAAGAACTTTTAATAAATCTTAAATACGTGTATTTATGAGGTTTATTACAAGATGAAGAAATTCTTTATTTTACTACAAATGTATAAATTACATTAATGAATATTGAAAACCTGTTATTTTCAAAGGTCCTTTATTATTATTTCAATATATTTCCTATATCCTTTAATATTAGGTATTTAAAAAATAATCATATTGGGTGTCTAAAAAAGAACTGTAATAGACTGATTAATTGTTTGAACTAAATGTTCTCAAAAAAGTCGACAACCTTTCTTAGAGCTCGTGCAGTATGCCAGCGAAGTCGCGCGACATCGGACGTAGCGACTCGCGGCGGCTACCGGCTATGAAAAACAGTGCAGCGTGTGGGCGACTAGCAATGAGCGACTACTTCTTCTACTACTACCGATCGCTGACAGTTCATAATTTAGTTACCTATATGTGGTTAGCACTTAACATACTTATTGTTAGATTTCGTGAAGAAGAGTACTTAGAGAGGAAATGGATATAGTATCAGAAATTTTATTGTTGAAAATTCTGTTTTACGGATTCAGGTCATCAAGGGTAGAGTAGAAGGAGAAGATTTAAGGGCGGTTACGAACTGGATTTATTGAGTTTCCTGCATTCATTAGGATAATAAAATAGTTAACAAAACAGTTGTAATCCACCTCTAACGACTGGTAGCTGCAAGTCGCGCGACCGAAGTCACGCGACATCGCTTGCACGCTGCACGAGCCCTTATTTATAACAATATTGCGACTTTCTTTTCCTAACGATCAAGAAAATGAATGCACCTACCTCTTCCAATGTTGAAGCCTCGTACCAATTACCGATACGAACTCTGTTACAATACACAATACCCTTGTCGCTTTGCATCTTGAAACACTAATTATATTACCGCAAGATAAAGTATTACGAACACAAATAGAAATCTCAAAAGTAATTGCAAATTTTAATAGACCATAGAGAAATTAACATGTTCAGTACAGATATAATAAAAGTTTTATTAATAGAATGAGGTTTTATTATTCATCACATAATATACGCATCTAAAGGCGGCTAATAAAACAATCTCACCACTAATTAAGTTTTGCTAATAGATTTAAATTCCTGATGTACTAAGTTTATGAATTCCTCAGAATACTGTTGCTTCCATAATCAATATCTTACGGATAAATGGTAGCTATATGTAGTTAACCTCAAATAAGAAAATACATGTACATAATAATAAACAATGCTATTCGCAATGCAATTCCCGATGCAATGTACGGTCGCGGTCATAAGTCCAGTAGCACTTTTACGAAGTTATAGCATTATAACTACTTGGACATACGACCTTCTAAACGTATATCACACACATATACACAGACTACATGCTTATGATTATAGTAACTAATAAAACGTCAAAGAATTAATATCATTTTTAGTCATTTTAAACTAGTAGTCACTAAAAGTTGAGGGTAGATTTGTAACAATATGAATTCACTGGCTGTAATAAATTTGTTATAAAGATGGTTGATAAAATTAGTTATTGCTACTAGCGGTGTTTATATTGAATATCTGTATTCAAAAAGGAAGCAAATATTAGTAAAAATGCAAGTAAATAGGTATTAGTACTTAAGCCAAGACTAACATTATAGATTTGCATGGCAGTGGGCTTAATTTGTCTGAAATGAATAATAAATCAAACATTGATATATTACACACTTATGCTTAAGTGTAAGTTATTTTGTACGATTTATGACAGTTTAAAAAACGTAGGACAGTCTCGCTAACAAAATACCGTGTCACTCATAGTCGGCCAACATGCTGTATGTACAGGCCGGTACACTTACACACATTAGTCGGCTATTACGCTCGCAAACATCAAGACAGCGAGACGCATTACGCGGCGAAAACATATAAATATACAACATGTTTTGCGTAGTGAAATCCTGTAAAAACCGTACTGACCGAAAGAAAAATAATCCAGAAATCACATTTCATAGATAAATGAATAATTCATTTACTTATTTCCAGATTTTATTCATTATCTTGTACTTATGGCCAATTTTCACGTGTGCAAATTACCCGAAACAAAGGACATTTTTGGTTTATTATTAAAATCATATTAATATGGTTGTTTATTTAATTGCACGTTGAGCGACTTTGAACTTGTGGACCAGCCGTACCGTAAGTGTCCATGTTTCGGCTCCGTATGTCATGACGGGTAGGACGTACTCATTGAAGACTTTCGTCTTAAGACACTGTGGGAGCGACGATGAGAAAACTCGACGTAGTTTCCCAAACGCTGCCCAACCCAACTGAATTCTTCTGTTTACCTCGTCCTCGAAGTTGTTTCTACCTAACTGCAATGTCTACACGAGGTACACATAATTTTGAACAACTTCGAGAACGGCATCGTGTACCGCAATCGGTTCCAGTAGTACATGTTCGTTGAACATGACCTTGGTTTTATCCAAGTTCATCCGTAGGCCGATGCGTACAGAAGAGTCAGCTAGGTCATTCAGCATCTTCTGTAGGTCCTACAACGTCTCTGCCATGATGACGATGTCGTCTGCAAATTGCAAGTGAGAGATGTATTCGCCATTGATATTGATGCCACGCCCTTTCCAGTGCAGCGTCTTCAACATGTCCTCCATTGCATTTGTGAACAATTTCGGGGAAATAACGTCTCCTTGTCTCACTCCTCGATGCAATGTTTGCTGATTCTGACATTTCATCACTTGGATGTATCGCAATTCTACTTGGCAACGCTGCAGGGACTCCAGAACAGACCAGATCTCGATCGAGTCAAAGGCTTTCTCATAGTCCACCAATGATAGACACAGGGCCTGATTATATTCTTCGGTCTTCTGTATAACCTGCAGCACTGTGTGGATGTGGTCTATGGTGCCATATCCGCTCCGAAACCCAGCTTGCTCCGGTGGTTGGAATTAGTCGAGTCTTTGCGTAAGACGGTTCGTGATGACTCTCGAAAACAGCTTGTAGACGTGGTTTAGAAGGGATATGGGTCCATAGTTCTTCAACATGGTCTTGTCACCCTTTTTGAAGAACAAGACGATCACACTCCTGCTCAACGCTTTCGGAGTTCTCCCTTCAAACAGGACAGCCTTGAAGAGTTTTTGGAGTTCCCTTAGTACGGGTTTACCCCTGGCTGTTAGCAGCTCTGTTGCCATCCTCTTCAGAGCTTTTCCATTTTTCAGCTGTCCAAGAGCCATCTCGATTTCGTCAATGCTAACTTCTGGCAGGTCTTTGGTTTAGTGACGTGTTAATGTGGCTCTAGAGTCCTCATTTTCGGGATCAGGTCGAGATGCATGCAAAGCGTATAACCGGCCATAGAAGCTTTCCACTTTCAAAAGGATTGCCAGCTTCGAAGCAACGACTTCTCCACTTTCTGTGGTCAACTTTGTCAGGTGGCTTCTTCCAAGAGATTGTAAGAACACTTTTGACCCCCGATTCAGCTCGATCGCTCTTTCAATTGAAAGAGTATTGGAGCACCGGAGGTCGTGTTGTACGAGTTTACTGATCTCTCGGTTTAGAGTCCGATTTGCCGACAAAGTGATATTTGGGTTTTCACGTCGTTTCTTCATCAGCCCTCTAGGGTCCTTTCTTAAAGCTTCGACTTCTTGCCCTTACGTTGTATTTCACAAAACCTCATACCTTCTTCCCTGAGGATCCGAACCATATTTTCGAGGTTCTGGTTTGGTCGGTTGGGCTATGCTCGGCGTTTTAGAGGTTATCCGGCAGAGAACCAATGTCACTGACATAGCCTACCGGACCAGCAAGCTGAAGTGGCAGTGGGCTGGCCACTATTAGACGCAGAATCGACAACTGTTGGGGAAAACGAGTTCTTGAGTGGAGACCTTCTTCTTGACGATTTGCTTGCGATTTGAAAAAAAAATGACAACGTTTAGGACGAACAAATAAAAGATAATTAAAGATAATTTGATGACTGTGTTTTAGAGTATAAATTTGGGTAACTTGGCAACCCTAAAATTCATTCTCACGCACAAAGCTGCCAGCATTGCGGTGCCTCAGTTTTGTGTTAGCGAGAGTTCCGTCTTACCTTTTTTATACGTCCATGGTTCGATTATGTGATGTTAACTGTGGTGTATTATTTTATTTTATAATTTTTTAAGTGTTGAGTCAAAATGTGTAATATGAATTGTTTTTTTAGAGAAAAGCCGTGAGACGTCGAGTGAAAAGATTGTTTAACTAGCCGCTACTTTTTAATCAGTCTCAGCGGCAGTTTATCTCTATTTCTACAACTATTTATATCTTTTTGTAATGTTGAAAGTTTGAAAAAAAAGCCACATGAGGTAATTTTTCTACGCAAACGAAAACGCGGACGCCAGTTAGTTACATATACTTATTCATAATATTAGTACCACTTAAAGAACTACTTATTTTTGAACGTAAAATAGTATGAAAAAATATGTCACACTGTATTTTAGGTAACTTTATAGTCTGACTTGTATTTGTATAAAAGAAGCTTTTACACTACTAACTAGATATTTAGTCACATAAACATAATGGTAAGTATCTACCGCAAACGACCGTTGTTGAGTCTAGTAAAAGCCAAGGGCGCCATAAGAATTTCATCCGTTAAAGGGAGAATGTCAACTATGTACATTACCTAAATGTTAGTGTTTTGCAGCCATTTGCTACGATAACTTTCATACGAAACCATTATTCGGGTTAATTTTGAAGTTGGATTTAGAAGTCAAGGATAAATTATACAATATCTTTACCTCGAACTTAGTTTTGGCTATTCGTATTGTAAATAATGCTGTAAGAAATTATGCTAACTAGAGACGAGAACGTAATCGCAAATATGATCATTATGTAAATATACACTGAAAATTTAATGTTATTTTATTTTTCCAGGCATTTTACGCAATAATCTTTTGAATCCGAATCTGAACAAATTGTAAATTAAACTAATAGCAAGCAAGCAGCGATACAAACTCAACGGCCCTATCAAATATGTACCTAACTGTGGCTTGCGACTCTAAATTACCTTCACATATAATAATAAGAATAAAACGTTCTAAGGAATAATACAATGTGAAGGTAATTATTTAATAACAAAATAATATTACAGTAAAGATCATTTAATCAAAGTCATTTACATATTTTACATCATCATACCTAATGGTAATTATACAAAAACAGTAAAAAAATCACATAACAAAAACATTTGAGGTGAAATAAAAAAAAAATAGGAATTTGTCATGAGCTATGAAAACATACATACGTATACATCTTTTTTACATGAGAAGCATCTATAAATATAATATACATATAATTCATATTTTTGAGTACGAGTTTTAATACTACAATTCAACTTTGGCTTAAGCGAACTTTACTGGCGCATGGCGCAAGATATCATTTTAGAGGTTCTTTCTACAGGCCTTTTTTTAAGCTTTCGTAAGAATTCGGGACAAAATTTTTGTCAATAACGTTTTGTTAACTGTGCGGCCATAGTAAACACCGAAAATCATGGATAAACTTTAAAAAACAAAGCATAGAACTATTTTTTTGATTTGGTTTCAACATCGCTGACCATTGTAAATATGTTCTCCGCTGTAAATCTTCCATGGATGTCGATGTAGTTCCGGCAAGTAACTCCACACTCCTGCAAATGCAACAGCAACACATGAATTAAAAATAATAATTAAATTTTACTTAAAGTGTCACATCACACATCACATCAACAGCCTTTAATAGTCCACTGCTCTAAACATAGGCCTCTCCTTAGATGCTCTCTTTCCTGCTTATAAACTAGTGTAATTTTGAAGCCAATAATATTATTCATTAGTTTTATAATTAAATGTAAGAATAAGAAAATAATGACACGATCTACTTTCTTTTTCATTCTTTGGTTCCTTTCGAATCATATTGAATTCGTTTTTAGTCTTCATATTTAGTACAAAAATACATATTTATTTTAATGTGTACTTAAGCCTAGTGAAACCTCAGCAATCTCAGCTTAATATTAGTGATGTGCCGGATATCCGTATCCGTATCCGTATCCGCGGATATCCAAGGGAGAAGAGAGATCCGTAACCGTATCCGTATCCGTGACTTTTTTGGCGGATCTTTCAATACATATTACATAGATGAAATTCTATATAGGTGATTTTGTATTCACTGTAAAACTCTTAAGTATGTGTTTGTAACACTATAAACAGCAACTTTTTTTCTGGCCAACGTCAGAATGAAAAAAAATTGCCCTCCATTCAAATGACCAAGCAAATGTTGTTAGTTTGTATGGAGAAACAATTTTTTTTCTTTCGTTTTCGGTGTTAGTCCATAAGAAAATTTGTTGTTTATAATGTTACTAATATGCACTTCAGAGGCTTTCAGTAAATTTAAATTTAACCCTGAATAATGGTTATTAGGTAGCTATGAAAAACTATTGAAGATTACTTTTCATTTCTTAAAACAAATATTTGGCACCTTTGTATTGCAATCATTTATCGTACTATATTAAATCAACTAGGCAGGTCGTAGGTACTGAAAGTGCTATCTTTATAATGAGATCAATCAAACATCTTTGTATTAGCTTATTAAAATAATGAAATATTTAAATATCAACGGCAAAGCGTCAAGTGGCGATAACTATCAAGGTCACGGGCTCCGATTGAGTAAGAAACTTAAGATCCGTATCCGTATCCGCGGATCTTGACACCAAATATCCGTATTCGGATCCGTATTCGCGGATATACTTTGTTAACGATCCGGCACATCACTACTTAATATTAATTCTACCATAAGCATTTGAGAACACTTATAATGATAAAACTTACCGCCCCAAAAAAAGTCTGTATCCAGTTTTGATTCATAACACACAAACTTTGGTCAGCGATACAATTTTTTATGATGAGACGAGCACTAGTCTGAAAAAGTTGAAAGTAATAAATTTCTGTTAAACCTATTTCATATGAAAATTTAATTAGCGTAACAATAAAGCAACTTTTTATGGTCTTGAAGGATTTTAGAACTCCAAAGTTACAGTTAAGTTATGATTAATGAGCAAACAACGTGCCTATTGCGAGTATTCATATTTCATAAACCTACAGGGTTTTTCAACAAGAGGTGTTATTTTGAATCACCCGGTATTTCGGTAGCTGTCCCTTTTGAGGCTTTTATTTTTTGACATTTGACAAGTAGAAACTACGCCATTACTAAAAATGGAACGATACACACTTCAACAACGCATTGAAATTATTAAAATTCACTACAAAAATGATGAAAATCTTGCAGACACAGTTCGCAAAACTAAAGCATTTTTAGGTCGTCGTGAAGCACCTTGTCGGACCGCAATACAGAAATTGGTGGAAAAATTCGAGCTGTTGGGACAAGTTAGTGATGTGAAGAATAAAACCCGTGCACGTCGCTCAAGAAAAACTAAGAATATTGCTGCTGTAGCCCAAAGTGTTGAAGAAAACGCAGGTTTGTCTATTCCTCGTCGTTCTTTGAAATTGGGCATTCCACAAACGCCAATACACCTTATTTTGCATAAAGACTTGGGTCTTTAATCTTATAAAGTTCAGTTAACACAAGAACTCAAGCCGGCCGATCATCAACAACGTCGTGTCTTTGCTGATTGGGTACTTGAAATGCATGAAAATGATCCGGAATTCCATCGAAAAATCATCTTGACTGATGAGGCCCATTTCCACCTAGGAGGCTACGTCAACAAGCAAAATTGTCGCATCTGGGGCTCGGAAAACCCAAGAGTTATTGTTGAGAAGCTTCTCCATCCTCAACGTGTGACTGTTTGGTGCGGTTTATGGTCCGGCGGGGTCATTGGACCTTACTTTTTCGAAAATGAGGTTGGATCAACACTTACGGTGAATGGATTGCGCTATCGAGATATGATTAATGATTTTTTATGGCCGGAGTTGGATGGTATTGACGTGGACAACGTTTACTTTCAACAAGACGGCGCTCCGTACCACACAAGCAACGAAACCATTGCTCTTTTATGGGAAAAGTTTCCTGACCGTGTTATCTCTCGAAGAGGTGATCACAATTGGCCACCGAGATCTTGTGATTTAACACCTTGCGACTTCTTCCTTTGGGGCCACGTGAAAGATAAGGACTACGCCAACAGCCCAGCGTCGATTCAAGACCTCAAAGATGGAATTCGTGAGGCTATCGAGGACATAGGGCAGCAACTTTGCAATTTGGTTATGCAAAATTTCATTAAAAGGATATGGTCCTGTAAGCGTGGTCGTGGTAGCCATTTGGCCATGTTATTTTCCACTAGCTGACCCGCGCAACTTCGTCTGCGTCTCTCAATAGTAATAAATTTTCTCCGTTTTTGAAACATTCTTCATTGGTGCTCCGCTCCTATTGGTCTTAGCGTGATGATATATAGCCTATAGCCTTCCTCGATAAATGGGCTATCTAACACTGAAAGAATTTTTCAAATCGGACCAGTAGTTCCTGAGATTAGCGCGTTCAAACAAACAAACAAACAAACAAACAAACAAACTCTTCAGCTTTATAATATTAGTATAGATTATTAACGGGATACCTTCCTCTTTATTATAAAATTATTATTTATCTTAAAAAATTGCTTTTTTCTTTGAATACTAAAATAACACCTCTTATTGGAAAACCCTTTACACTGTATTATTATTTACATTTACTTACACAATGTTAATCCAGTTCAATAAACAAACATCCACCTACAATATTATGATTAGGATATAGGAATAAATAATATTGTTCGACATGACCTGTGTGGCTCATTAGAAATAACTCTGATGCTTTTTTTAACTTTGACTGCACGGATGGCGTAGTGGTTTAAGCGGTCGCCACGCCGCTTCCTACTACGCCGAGTGTTGTGGGTTCAAACCCCACATGGGACGACACTTTGTGTGATCCACAAATTGTTGTTCTGAGTCTGGGTGTTCTTTGTGTCCGTTTCATGTATGTTTGTAAAGTCCCCCGCGACACAGGATTTATTCCTAATGCGGGAGTTGTCTTTTTAAAAAAAGAAAAAAAAAAAAGAAAGAACTATGTATGTACATGGAACATAGTATTTCATAACTTTTTTATGGTATAAGGGGCAAACGACACCACGAGTTACTCAATAGACATAAGTGCATTGCGGCCCTTCAACTCCTCCCCTTTATTTATGTTTTATGGTATAAGGGGGCAAACGAGCACACGGATCACCTGATGGCAAGCCACTACCGCCACACATGGACACCTGCAACTCAAGTCACAAGTGCGTTGCGGCCCTTGGAGTCCCTCCCGCTCGAGTCAGCGGGAGGGGGGATTTGAGCTCCGGTAACCTCACTCACTCAATGAAAGGCAACGAAGACTTGCTTAACACCGGTTTTCTTTAACTACTCACTCACAAAGAATTGCTTAATTTTCTGTGGGACTGTGGTATCACTTCATCGGGCTGATCTTTAAGTGCCAAAGCATGGCTCTCTCATGTTTAAATAATCCGATATAATCATATATATACATATGCTCATAAAATATTATGTTCTATGTTGCGTAGTACATCAAATAGAGATCTAGAATGATTAGCTTAAATAACTGTAATGAGCAAGAAATATACAATGAAATGAAATGAATTAACTTCATTTGAAAATTTTGTACATTATATTGTTATACCTACCTTGACTGGACTACCAAAACCTTCAATGCGATCACAAGGCAACAAGGGCATTGCTGTGAAGCGACAATTACTGTCTTTGGTCGCGCTTAACCGAAGAGGCATACGATCTCTTGGCTCTGGCGTTACAGCTGAGGTGTATCGAACGTACAATGGTGCTGCCTAAACACAGAAAACAATACAATAAAAAAGAACCCTAATAAATTTTATTTCATTTAAACTGAAACAGTACATGTAGTGCCATCTCTGACATTTTTTCCTAACTAATTTACAGTTCAAGTTTTATTCATTCATCATCCATCATCATCAACAGCCTTTACTAGTCCACTGCTGGACATAGGCCTCTCCTTAGAAAGGAGGTTTTGGCCTACTATACCACGCTGGCCAGACGGGTTGGTATAGGGTTTGTGTCAAGTTTTCCTTCTTTTTGCAGTGCTGGTGTCCTGCGTTGTTTTCCGCCCTTAGTCGGCTCTTACGACACCCACGGGATGAATTGGGGTAGTGACATTCCGTATTCTTAATCCGTCACTACACGGATACTTAATCCGTCACTACACGGATACAAGTTTTATGAGTTTTACTAATTTAGTTTTGTTTTTTTTTGTATGTTGTATAACAAATTAAGACTAGAAATACAAGTAGGTTAGTTACCTTATATTTTACGTTAAAATTTGTTTCATTTAGTACAAAAGCTTACCAAAAGAAGATTTAATTAAACGAAACCATATTGAAAATATTTCAAATATTTATCATTGCAAATATTTATCAAAATATGACGCACTGTCGTTTGATGTACTTTTTAATTATTGTTTTAATAGAGTCATAGATCGATGAGGAGAGTGGTGTGATGACTGGTGCCTAGGACGTACCTAGTTAGTTTTCAGCTTTAAGTACATTTGCCACATCTTCATTCTTCATCTTTCTTTTCAATAAAACCGTTTAACTTAAAACGGTTTTACCTATTTTATTTTTAGAGTTTTTAGTTTATACTTAAGTTCTCAATATTTCTCATGCTTTTAAGTTCATTTAGCGCCTTATAACATTACAAGGGTTCTTTGCTGTTAATTTGTTGCAGTGTCTCTCTCTTTAAGGCCCTTGTCGGAGCAATCGCCACACCTCTTTTTTCTGCGATCTATTTTACCTCTTACGTTGATCTAGGCCTCCCTCGTTTTCTTTTACTTTTTATTTTTTCTTCTAGTATTCTTCTAAGGAAGTTGTCCTTTCTCATTAAGTGACGAATCATTTTGCCTCCTCTGCCTCAATAGCATTTAAAATTCAATCTCTTCATTGACCATTAGATTGCCTCATTGGTTATTTTATCTATCCAAATGATGTTCATCATTCGCCTAAAGCACCACATTTCAAATGCTGCCAACCTGTCTCTATCTCTTTGGGTCAGCTTCCACGATTCGCAGCCATAAAGTGCAACACTCCATACGTATGTTTTGTTGAGCTGTTTACTTACTTTGGTATTAGTCTTGTCCCTAAACAGGTGTTTCTTGCGGTTGAAGGCTTGTAGCGATTGCATATCTCTTTATTCAGCTACCTAAATATTTAAAACTTTCTACTTGTTCTGTGTGGATATTATTAATATGACTGACGAGGAGGGAGGTTATGGATGTTGTAGCTTAACTCCTCAAAGTATAATTCCTTCAAAGACTTTACTCATTGTCCGGTAAGTTATCCTTCCTTAAACAGTTTTGAGCCTAAGTACACAACCGCGTGGTCTACGGTGCTGCCTTGCATTTTGTGCATAGATGAAGCCAATGACAAAACTGAGAGCAACATCCTTCTTTCACCTGTCCCCTAATTGAAATTTGCTAAAAACTGTATGGCTTTCGGGTGAATAAGATGATTTCGTCTTTTCTAAAGACGATTCTCTTTTTACACTACTTTAGCTTTAATACACCTAGACTAGAAGAAACAGTACCCACTGTTTCTTCTCATCTACTGTCGATTTGTCCATCCAAAGGTTGCCTGTAAGAGATTGCTTGCTTGAGAGTGATTAGCAATAAGGCCGGCTATTGTACATATCCGTCTGTAATATTTAACTAACATACTGTAACTCATATAGGCAAAAAAGCACATATTCAAAGACGTCTCAGTGCTCAATAGGTTTAATACCGGTAGCGATCACCGACTTGTCCGAGGCTCTCTAAATATCGACTATAAGGCCGAAGGTGTTCGTTTGATGAAATCTAGGCTCCGACTAACTCTGCTCCAAGCCATGATAGGATCTGAAACGTCCCAATCAAATCTGGAAAACCGATTCGCTGCCGTGGAAACACACCACAACAGACGAAAGCCAGAACCTCGAAAATGTGGTTCGGATCCTCAGATAAGAAGGTACGGGATTTTGTGTCAAAGCTTTCGTCAAAGACCCTAGGACTAATAAAGGAACGACGTGAAAACCCACCTGTCACTTCGTCACCAAACCGGACTCTACACCAAGAGATCAGCAAGCTAGTACGACACGAAATCCAGTGCTCCAATATTTCGATTAAAAGAGCGATCAGCAGAATCGGGGCTCAATAGTGTTCATACAATCTCTTGAAAGAAGCCACCTGACGAAGCGGAACACAGCAAGTGGAGAAGTCGTTGCTTCGAAGCCGGCAGTCCTTTCGGAAGTGGAAAGCTTCTATGGCCGGTTTAAGCTTCGCATGTAACTCGACCTGATCCAGAAAATGAGGACTCCAGAGCCGCATTAACACGTCACTACACCAAAGACCTGTCGGAAGTCAGCACTGACGAAATCGAGATGGCTCTTAAACAGCTAAAAATGGAAAAGCCCCTGGAGAGGATGGCATTACGACAGAGCTGCTAATTAGAGCATACTGATAGTTTCTGTATTCTGATAAGTAAGGCTAGATACAAGACTTACGATACATTTATTTCAAAGTATATTCCCTTGCATTTAATATTTTTTGCATTCGCTGAAACCACTTTCCAAAGCATTTGGACCAGTCTTCAGAGTTTCAATGGCTTCATGGAACGCATTCACCGCCGATTCAGGGCTCGTCAAGCCTTCAAATAAGCTTATGTTACCTTAGCGGAATGTGAGGATGCGTTATCGTGGTGAAGGAGGCCATTACTTCGAGGACGTTTTTCGCTAACTTTTTCTAAGACTCTGGGCAAGCAAGTGTTGACCAACCAATCTGCGGTCGTGGCCTCTGTTCTTCAAGCGACACTATAGTGTAATGTGCTGATTTCCCGAAAAAAGAAACAACCATTTTTACGAATGCTTCATTTTTCTTTCTTCTTACTTGCCTTAACTTTTGCCGGTAAATCTTCAAAAGAAAAGACCCACTGGCAGAGTGGGTCTTTCTTTTTCTTTGTGGGTCCGGCTTTTTCTTTCGGGTTCAAAAGAGTACACCCAGGTTTCGTCACCTGTCACAATATTATAGACAGCCAATGACTGCCCTCCGTTAAATTTTTTTATAATTTTAAGGCACCACTGGACACGCAGTCGTTTCTGGTCCTCCGTTAAGTCATGCGGTATCCATCGTGTGCAAAGCTTTCGAAAAATAAAAAAATATTAGTCTGTAACCGCAGTCGTCGGCCGATTTTCAAGTACCTCGTCATGGGGATGATCTCGTCCACGTCTAAATTCTCCAAACCACGAATACTGCGACTGCGACATGGGGCTTCGTCAACAAATGCCAATTGAAGTCTCTGGCAACTCTCTTGTTGACTTAAGCCACAACGAAATCATAAAAAATCATGAATGAAAATGTTCTCAAGTTTAAATTCATTTTGATAGCGACACACAATTTTCGAAAGGACGTCACTATGTAAAAACAAATGACAGTCTCGCAAATTAAAAAATAACATGTTCCCAAAGAATTCCATTTTCGAATTCCATAATTGTTTTTTCATTCTTTTATTGTATTGTTGCCTACCATAAACCTGACAGGTTTTCTATTTGTACCATGAACCTTTTCGGCTGAACTGCAATGTATTAATTTCTGACCTGAATAATTGAATGAATGAATGACCTCAAATCGACTTTTTTCCGACAACCACTAGCAATTGGAATAAATGTAATTGTGAATAGATACCTATTGATAATAAGTATTGTTACTATGATTCTATACTGTTATTGTGATTCTATGTCTTTTAAGTTTTTTTTTCGGAATCTTATTCTGGGAATAAATGGACTTATTATTATGTTTGTTTGTTTTTACAGCTCGAGACTGGTTTTAACTGTGTTTACTCGTCGAAACCAAGTAAACACAGTAAGGTGTGTTTGGTTTTGTTGTAGTAAGTGGTTGCTATGTGTGTTGAGCAGTTTTGTTTTATTCTATCGACACCTCCTAAGTATAATGAGTCAACTAACATTGTAGTAATTTTACAGGAGAGCGATTTGAAGGCAAATTGTTTTATATTTTAATGAAATTAAACCTGTTCGTAATAAATTAAATGTTTTTTTAATAAGGAATGGAAGCTCTTCCTTTGGTATAAAATGATTTTGCTGATTTTTGTTTTTAAATGATATTTTATGTACTTGACTGGGTATACGCCGGCGGGACTCAACAGTAAAATGGTTTAACTACCAGTTATATTCATGTACGTTGTACATCAAAAGCTATGGCTTACCCCAATATATTATGAAATATGATTGTCATTTTGATAACGGCATCCTACTTTTGGTTGTTTTCGGTATTTTCTGTCTCACTTAATAATAAAATGTTGAAATTACATCACTTGACTCATTATACTAGGAAAGTACTTAACTATGTTAGCATTTGAAACCTCAACGTATACTGGACTAACATAATTCACCGAGACTTTTTAATTACTCATTTGATTTCTATTATAATATCTATACATAAAAATTATGGGATTATTCAACTTCAATATATAAGTATAATCAAAAACAAGGTGAATTGACGATTATAGTCTGGTGGTAGAACGTTCGACTGAAATGTCGTGAGTTTCATCCCTGGGCGTCGTTATTGGGAAGTCAGTGCCTTCTATCTAATATCCTGACAACCGGTCTAACAATAAGAATATTGGTATCCCTTTGGGTTACGTAGGTCAGATTGCAGTCGATCCGTAGAAAAATGATATTCAGCTAATAACCAGTTAGACCAGCGGCCGACCTTACGAAATGTGGAATCAATAAAGGCTAGAAAGAAGCAGAAGAATCATAAACACAAACA